TTGTGTTGGGGGCTGAGAGGGAGGGAATGGAATAACATTTATTGAGTTCCAGCAGTATGCGGACTCTCCTGGCAATGTCATTTGATTCTGTGGTTCTCCAGATGTGCTCTCCGAAGGGCAACCTGAGTGTGGTTTAGGAGCTGGTCACAAATGCAAGTTCCCCGTGCCTTCCTGGAGAGCCTCACAGAAGCATCTCTGGGTTTTCTTCTCTCAAAATGTGGAGTACGAAGTAAAAAGGTATTCCACAGCCACGCAAATGCTATCATAGGGAAAGAACAGAAGATTCATGCTACATTTGGGAAGGGCAGTATGTTCAAGGATGTCTCACTGAAATCTCATGTACAGAATTATTTTTTGCAGCTTGGAAATTGCTTGTGTTGGCTCTCACTGGAACCACCTAGACGGTATTGGGGACTCAGGTGTCATGTTTTTATACTGTGAGTTAGTTGGCACATTACAAGCAGGAGGGGTCGCAGAACGTGTTTGAGATTGGAAAAAAAAAATCTTCCCCAGATACAATGTTGTAAATCAAGGTAAGGTGGCCAGGCTGGTGTCAAAACTCCTATCCTTGGAGCACCTGGGTGGCTCAGTCGGTTAAGCATCTGAGTTTGGGTCAGGTCATGATCTCATAGTTCGTGGGTTTGAGCCCCGTGTCAGGATCTGTGCTGACAGCTCAGAGACTGGAGCCTGCTTTGGATTCTGTGTCTCCCCCTCTCTCTCCCCCTCTGCTGCATGTGCCTCTGTCTCTCTCTGAAAATAAATTTTAAAAAATTAAAAAAAACAAAACAAAACAAAAAAAACCCTCCCATCCTCTTGGGTACCCCAAGCCCTGCACTGACTAAGTTCTGATCTGTGACCACCAGGTCTGTGCCTTTGACCTCAGCTGAGGATCACTTGGAGAACGCAGACATGGCCCATGCATGTGGCTGCCTTTTTACCCCTCTTTTCCTCCTCTCGTCTCAAGCCCCCCTAATTTTGATTAGGTAACCGGAGTTACCCTATTGGTCTCTGCCCTCCCAGAAATCCCTGGCTTTTACTTAAAGCATAATGCCCCACGTCATACAGGGACCCCAGGGAGAAAGAAGAATTCTAGACTTGGCCGCCTACACATTTGCATGACCAGATCTAGACCCTGATTACATCTCAAAAACTACAAGGATGAAAGACAATTTACACCCCCCACTACTCATTCCCCAGGTAAAACTGTTTTGTCTCTTGCCAGGAAGTCACTAGCATTCAGAATCCTTGCTTGGCTCTGTTAGCCTCAGTAGTAGTCCTGGGTCAGGCCTGAGTTTGCGGTTTTAAGCTGGTAAATTTCGTGATAATTGGCTATGTAGTGGCATTCTCAGGCATACTTGGAGAGCTCACTCACTCACTGCTGAGCCCTCCTCCCCTCTGATGCCTTCTGCTCATGTCCACAAAAGTTGCTGATCAGCAGTGGCCTACACTTCCAGACGTCTTTCTGAGGGAGCTCCCATTTGGCTTGAGGGTGCGACAAGCTTTCCCCGATCACCACCCGGCGGGCAGGCAGATAACCAGCGGATTCTGCCTCTCCTGTGAGCACTTGGAACTATCAGCACAAACAGTGGGGCGTTAGCCACGATGCTTCCAAACCAGGAGAAAAGTCCCATTTTGTGTCTTAGAATGTAGCAGGATTCTCACACAGAGTCACGACAACGAGGCTTTCCTTTCCAGAGAGCAACTTTATTCCCGCCGGCACTGCTCAGTTGGGTTTGTTCCCAAAGAACTGAGCCCCGAATGCCACGTGGCATAGTCTTTTGTACATTTTCCACTTCTTTGTCTCCCATACGTGTTAATACGCAAACGTGTGGTCTGATGAGTGGTCTCCTGTTATAGGGTGGTGAGGGATGTCACACATGCATGTGGCCAGGTTGCCTTCCGCTATCTCGGCAGTTTTTTCTTCCACATTCCTTAGGGAAGGGAACCTACCACATTCCCCACTTTGATGCTCAGACCCCTCTATTTTGGGTCAAAGAACGTAATTTTGGTTTAGAGATTTCTATTTCCATAACATCACTATATGGGTGGCCGTCTTTCTTTCACCCGTGGCCTCAATGAGTCTGGAGACAGACCGTGCAACCAGGGGAGGTAAGCAAGGTAAGATTAAGCACCTTCCCCAAAGTAGGGTAATTCCCATGAGAGTTTGGAATCCCCCGAGAGTTGAAAACCATCCAATACCTCCCCGGGGTTCCAACCATCCCAGGTCTGGACTGGGACATGAGCAATCCTCTTCATTTGATCTGTGATCTCCTCTATGACTTTTCTCTCATCATCTATCTGTGGGCAGCAGTTGCTCAGGTTAAACTTTTCGCAAACTTCTCCGTCAGAAGCAAGCAGGTGATCCAAGGCGAAGCAATTTTGATAGCACTGCACATTTTGGTTTGCTGCTTGGCTAGTGAGCTAAGAGCCCTGGCAGTTTCATTGGTTATACATTCTACAACTGCTTGCAGCCTGATTATGCGGTTTAGCATGTACGTCGGAGTGCGGCA